GGCTTGGCCATTTCTCTCTAGAGGGCTCTGGGGGAAGTCGGGACGCCGCTTCTGCCTGGTCAGCTCTCCTTCACTCACCAGATTGACTCTACTTTTTGGCTTGTGCCCTGAAGAGTGCAACGCAGGTTGGGTCCCGGGGACCCCCCTCTAGGTTCCCTCTCAAAGGCTAGCCATTCTAGGTTTAAAAATTGTCAGAGTTTCCATTTGTTCAGGTTTTCATCAATGCCTCATGAGACTTCTCCAGACTCCGTCCAAGAGACTTGCCTCCTCCAGACTTCATCGAGGAATCAACACCCAAGTGACAGCTGCAGCCTGCTGCCTTCTCCCAGCATGGACCACATCCCAGCCATTCATCCATCGAGGGCATCTGGACTTGTTTCCATATCTTGGCTCTCTTGAATAATGCAGCAATGAGCATGGTTGTACATGCTGCTTTCCTGTATCCATATTTGTAATCTTCTGGCTAAAGGCCCAAGAGTAGTATCAAAGGATCATAGGATAATTCTGTTTAATTTTTTGAGGAATCTCCAAACTGTGTTCCAGAGTGGTTATACCAGTTCACATTCCCACTAACAATGTATTAGGGTTCGTTTTCCCCACCTCCATGCCAATATTTGGTTTTGTCTATGTTCTTGATGATGGCCATTCTAACTTTGATGAAATAGAAACTCAGTGTTGTTTTGTTTTGCTAATTTCTCAACAGAAAGAATTGTACCTCGAGATTGTTTTCATGAGCTCTTTTTAATAAAATTCAGTCTTTTCAAAACATTTTCTGCCATTTAAGAAATATTAAAAATTATTTTAAAAGTTACTGGGCGCTGATGGCTCATGTCTGTAATCCTAGCAACTCAGGAGGCTGAGATCATGGTTCAAAGCCAGCCTGGGTACAAAAGTCCATGAGACTTTTATCTCTAATGAGCTACTCAGAAAACTGGAAGGGGCGCAGTAGCTCAAGTGGTAGAGTGCTAGCCTTGAGCTAAATAGCTCAAGGGCAGCACCCAGGCCCAGAGTTCAAACCAACAAAAAAATTAAAAATAACAATTTAAAGCACTTCACTTTTGAGTCTTATAAATTATGTATTTGTGAAAGAGTACATGTCAAAAGTAGGTCAGTTCTGGTTTGTTACAAGGAACCTGGAGATCAATGTCCACAGGTGAATGTGAAACATTGTTCAGGACACAATTATTTTCCAGAAAGTTGATCTTTAACAGATAAAATTAGGGAAAGCCAACCAGTGGAACATTTCTGTGACTTGAAAAATAATCACGAGAGGATACTCATTCTACCGCCTGGCTACAGAAGAGAAAGGAAGTTGGTTCAGGACCAACCTCCCGTCATGTATCCCGTGAAATGGCACTAATTTTCCTTAAGCAGTCTAGATTTTATACTTTTGCCTCCCACTGGAGGTATTTATTTAGACCCAATGGCCTTTCAGGAAATTCTGGATCAAGTTGGAAGCCTGGGAAGATTCCAGATCCTTCAAGTGGCTTTTCTTATGATATGTAATATCTTGGCTTCACCTCATATTGCCTTGGAGAATTTCACGGCAGCCGTGCCTGAGCACCGCTGCTGGGTGCGCATCCTCGACAATGGCACGCTCTCTGACAATGGCACTGGGCTCCTCAGCCAGGAGGACCTGCTGAGAATCTCCATCCCACTCGACTCCAACCTCAGGCCAGAGAAGTGCCGGCGCTTTGTCCATCCCCAATGGCAGCTCCTCCACCTGAACAGCACCTTCTGGAACTTGAGTGAGGCAGAAACAGAGCCCTGTGTGGACGGCTGGGTGTATGACCGCAACTCCTTCGTCTCCACCATCGTGACCAAGGTAGGAAGCTTCATTTTCCAGTTAGGAGTTCAGGATTTGTGTGTTTAGAAATAACACAAATCCTTCCCACACTTTAAGGTGATTCTTCTTTCTTTTAGCCAATACTGACTGCATCTTTATTAAGTACAAGACACATATACAATGAGTCTAGTGAATTTGACAGTAGATAGTAAATAGACACTATTAATACAGAGCATAAGCAACTCATGTGTTTCATTATAAATGTTAGGCTCAGTCCATGTTACACAAATGTGTTTATACATTAGCAACTTCCTGGAGATTGAGCAAATCTACATGCTCACAATGTTCTTTTAGGAGAATCATCTGGAGGATTTACTGTGATAGTCAGGATTCAGAAAATGCTTTAAGGTCCCCCAGTGAATTCAACATGGATTAAAGGGGATCATTTCCATAGTAAACCTATTCGTTTAAAGGAAGTTTGCTGGAGACAGTTAAGTTTTAACCTAAATGAGAGAAGTCTTGTTAGGTTGAAAAAGGAAACGTGTAGGTCATGTTAGACAGATTTGCTCAGATTACACTGAGAGACTATAAGCTCTGTTGTGCTCATTTCCTTCTCTTTCAGTGGGACCTGGTGTGTGAATTTCAGTCACTAACTTCAATAAGTAAATTCATATTGACACTTGGGATTTTTTTGGGAAACACGCTATGTGGCCATTTAACAGACAGGTGAGTTTCTGGTTCACAGTACTCTCTGTTAGAGGAAGCTGGGCACTGAGGATGAGATATGAGGATGACAATAAAAAGAGAGCCCAGGCAGGAATGTCTGTGAGATTTATCTTCAATAAACTACTTAGAAAAAGCAAGAAGTGGTGCTGTGGCTCAAGTAGTAGTGTGCTAACCTTCAGAAAAGAAGCTCACAGACAGTGCCCAGGCCCTCAGTTCATGAATAAGCCAAAAAAAGGAAATCTTAAATGCACACATTGGAGAAGCTTCAACTCAGAGTAAATTTGTCTGCCAGAAGTTCTTATGTTAAAAAAAACCAGCCTGCCAAAAAATGTCTTTGAACATTCAAAGAAATACGTGTCAAAAGTTTAGATGAACATGATCAGAAGGACAAAAGGCTTTAGTGCTCACAATGACAAGGAGTAGTCTGCAGAATAAGGCTGGTAAAGTCACAGGCAATATAGAATGCTATATCTTTGCACAATAGGAAACACACATACACAGACACACACACACACACACACATACACACACACACACACACACAGAAAACTATGTGAAAGACAGAGGAACAACATTCCCAAATCTCTCTATCATATTAATCAAGTGTTTTCAAAAACAACCAGATCACAATGTATAAAGAAGAAAAACAGTCCACTCAAAGAAAACTATGCCCCAAGGTCTCTGAAGAAACACAGACATCCAACTTCTTAGAGAAACAGTTCCAAACAAGTATTTTAAGCATATTCAAAAAGATAAGCTAGAAGATATATGAAGACATAAAGACATAATGTATGAAAAGTAGTAATATCAATACTAAGCTAGGAATTGTAGAGAGGCATATACTAGAATCTGAGATCAAAGCTTGAAATGAATAGACTAAAATTGTCACTAGAGAGATTCAGTGGAAGCTGAGACCCAGTATAAGAATCCATGGATAGACATGAAAAAACAAAGCAGTAGAAATGATCAAGCAGTTAATGTCCTGTGCTGGTGTCTCATACCTGTAATCCTAGCTACTGAGGAGGCTGAGATCTGAGGATCATGGTTCAAAGCCAGCCTGGGCAGGAAAGTCCATGAAATTTATCTTCCGTAAACTACTCAGAAAAAGCCAAAGTGGTATTGTGTGGTTCAAGTGGTAGAGCACTAGCCTTGAGAAAAAGGATCTCAGGGACAGTGTACAGGCCCTGATTTCAAAACGCAGGACTGACCAAAAAAAAGGAAAAGAAAAGAAGGCTATTCCACGAAAGAAGGTTAAAGGTGGCTAGTATACCAAGGACTCAGGGATAGCATGAGACAGACCTACATATATGTTATGATAGTCTCAGAAGAAGAGAGAAATGGATAGAGATTTGAAGAAAATGCGCCCTATCAGTGGGAAACCACATATAAATCCAAAGAGGTTCAATAAAATCTAAGTTGATAATGTCTATATCCTATACTGAGATATATCATAAACAAAAAAATATTAGAAATTAAATGTAGAATCTTGAATGAGGAAAAATGCTTATATAATAAATTGTTGGCTGAATTTCCTTATCACCTAACATAGCATTCCAACATCCTCCTCTCAAGAAGGGGTTCTTCTAGTGTTTTCCCTATGCAGTTCTAAACTAATATGTAGTTTATCAAGTATAGCTTGCTTGCTTGCTTGCTTGCTTTTTTATGACAGTACTGGGATTTGAGTTCAGGGCCTGAATGTTATCCCTGAGCATTATTTTTGCTCAAGGGTTAGTGCTCTACTTTTGAGTCACACCTCCACTTCTGGCTTTTTATGGTTCAGTGGAGATAGGCTCATGGACCTTCCTGGCTGGATAGGCTTTGCATTGTGATTCTCAGATCTCAGCCTCTTGAGCAGCCATAAGTATAGGTATAAGTCATCGACATGCGAATCTATACATATTTGCATTTTGACTGAAACTTTTGTGACTTCCTATAAGTCTATGAAAGTCAGAACTCCATTTTCCTTTCTTTTTTTCTACAGACTTTCCCTGTTATAGTTCTTCATTCCTCATCTTGTTTAGTGTTTTCCTCTGTAGATTTTCTGAGCATTCTTTGCTCTGCACTGAGACTTTCTTCCTTCCTGTTCTTGAAAGTGGCATGTTGTTCACGACCAAGAAAGCCAAATTCAGCAGAGGATGATTCTGATGCCACTCATAAGAAAAATCCCATGTGTTGTTTCCCCAGTGTTCCCATTGCTTTGGTCAAGAAATGTACAGTCCTAGAGTTCCACATCTGATTTTGATACTTTATTGTGTAGACAATATGATAGGCTAAGTCCATGTCTTTAAGTACCTGTTTTAAATGTATTAGAAGTTCCAGTATTGTAACTTATCTCCTATGTTGTGAATATGTAGTTAAACTACTGTTTACCAATGGGAGAAGCGCCTTTGGTATACACAGGTCAGGTTTACGTATATGAAGATCTGTGTGGTTTTTTTTTCCAACTTCGTTCAGCCTCCTCTATTTTACCTGCCAGTACTATTTGTTCTGTTTCTGAAGTCACACAAAGAAATGAATGAGGAGAGTACAATTCAGATTTGAGCAAGAATACAAATAAATTTCTTGAGTCTCTCATCCCAGGATCCCTTAAGAAAGAGGAAGAAACCTCAAACCTGTGTATAGAGCCTCACTTTGGAAAAGCTCTGGGAATGGATCAGGCATCAGCCATTCCTAAGGGTTTTAACACTCATCAGAATCCTCTCCCTCTGTGGTCTACATGACCTCAAGCTCTAAGTGCTGCAGAACCACTCTCCCCTACACCTAGGAGACCACACCTTTCTACTGTCTCCATCCCTCTATGGTCCTATGGAACCAGGCCCTCTATGTCTTAAGAGACTCTTCCCATTCTCCTTCCCACAGAGCCACGCCCCTATGTCTTACAAGGCTTCTTCCCTCTACATCCTTCCCTCTACATCACCTTCTATGGAATTCCCACCCCCCACATCCTCACCAGACTCCCTGCTTGAGCATCTGGTTCCACTGGGGTGCTCCAGCCAGGAGTGTCATGCTCCAGCCTGGACACTCTCTTGGGATGTCCTCTTCTCTCTTTAGATATTCTACTCAAGCCAAAATGTCTTATAGGGTAGAAAATTGGTCTTAATGGCCCAGTCTTTTGGCTTGTGCCTTCTAGAATGGAACACAGGCTGGATCCCAGGTTCCCTCTCAAAGGCTAGCAATTTGGGGTTGGAAACCAGATCTAAAATCAAAAGAAAAGTATCTGCTTAGAAATTTAGTCTCAGTATCAACTGGACAATATCAAAACAAACAAACAAAAACCTAAACTGCTTAGAAATTTGGCCTAAATACCAATTGAATGAATGCAATCACTGACCCAATAGGTGCCAGGGACTCATGCCTGTAATCCTAGCTACTGAGGAGGCTGTGATCTGAGGATCATGATTCAAATCTAGCCCAGGCAGGAAAGGCCAGGAGACACTTATCTCCAGTAAACTACTCAGAAAAATCCAAGTGGCACTGTGGCTCAAAGTGGTAGAGTACTAGCCTTGAGCAAAAGAAGCTCAGGGACAGCTCAAAAGCCCTGAGTTCAAGCCCCAACGCCAGCAAAAAAAAAAGAAGGGTATAAACAGTGCCAGCTGAAGGATGTGTCAAATACAATTAGCCAGGTCTCCCAGGATTATCTCTGATAAGCCAGCAAAACACAACAAAGAGCCATCCCCATGGCTTGGAGAATTGTGGTTCATAGCTAGGCAGGCAAGAAGGTCCATGACACACATCTCCAATTAAGCAATAAAAAGTCAGATGTGACTCAAGTAGCTTAGCATTAGCCTTGAACAACAACAAAGCCATTGCTGTTGGTTATTTCTGATTATTTGTAGTTTTAAGAAACTTTGTGTTTCTTTGTGCAACAGCTGTTCCAGTTCCCACCATCTAAGCTTTGTCTTTTCCTCAGGTTTGGAAGGAGGCTGATTATCATCATCTGTGTGCTGAATTTGGCCATTGCTGACACATGCGCAGCCTTTGTTCCCACCTTCCTCCTTTACTGTGTCCTGCGCTCTCTGGCTGGTCTGTCCATCACAGTCATCCTAACAAACAGTACGGTGCTCAGTAAGTATTTCTTCCCACCATGTGCATTTTCCTCACCTTAAATGCGAACTTAATACTCTACTTTGGTTTGTGATGAAAATTCACTGGTGCTGTCTTTCAGGTGTAGAATGGACAGGACGCAAATTCCAAGCCATGGCGGTGCTCTTATTATTATGTTCATTTGGCTTAGGACAAGTATTGTTGGGAGGCCTGGCTTATTTTGTTCGAAATTGGCAGAACCTTCAGCTTGCGCTGTCTATACCTGTCTTCTTCTTACTTCCATTCACAAGGTATGAGCTTTCTTTTTGAAGAGATCTTGAATGAAGGACATAAGAAATTCATTTGGATCCTTGATCAACTTCTGATATTGTGCTCTCCTTATTCATAGCAATGTGTGACTTGAGCAACGGGACAAAAAGTGTTGTTAGGTAAAATTGAGGAAATTGAATTATGTTTGAAGTTACTATGTCAGCAAATTGCAACAGATGCAGTCATATTAAAAATTATTTATGAGATGAAATTCCTGTTTAAAGGAGGGTTCTAGGACTAAGATTGTGGCTTAGTGGTAGAGTGCTTGCCTAGCATTTATAAGGCCCTGGGTTCAATTCTTCAATAACACATAAACAAAAAAAATTAAAAAAATAAATACAGGAGGGTTCTGTACTAGATAAAATATATCTCACAATATTCAAATTAGAGATTAAAACATTTTATTGTAAGCACATACAAAATTCATTATCGTTATAAAAAATAGTATAGGCTATTTGAATTTCAAATGTGAATGTGTTTATTCTAATTACTAGAATAAGCATCTCTATGACCCAAAAGTGCCTATGAATGTCTCCTGAATGTTACAGATCTTCTTGGCTGTCCTTGCCAGTAGACTTAATTGGTAAGATGGTAATAGAACTTTTGCAAATGTATTTTTTTCATGGGGAAAATATTTGAACATGGTATTTCTTTGTCTATGGTTTGCATTTGTATATATGGTTTGGGAAAAAAAAACACGATGGTTATTGTCTTTGGAGGTGATATTAGGTGACAGAATTGAGAAGCAAATGTCCCTCTAGTATTGCTCATTTAAGGAGCAGTATGGATTCCTCAGTTGAAAATCATAGGCAGAATGGACAACTTACATCCTTTGTTTTTTTTTGGATCCTCTTCCTTTCCTCTCCTTAAGAGACTTGAGAGAGTTAAAAAGGGCTATGGTGTTAGTTCAGGACAGAAAGCCTGTTGAGTTAGGAGTGATCCTCAGAAGTGACTGTCGATTTCATTAATACTGTGAGCAAAATCCAGATAAACAGCATGTGTCCTTTAGCAAACTCATCCATTGTCACATTTGTCCTCCACAAATCTTTGTAATTCTGTGCCCTCATTAAACTAAGGCCAATTTATCTTGCTGGTGTTCCAAAAGTTACCACAGCCACGAGGATCAGAACTGGCTCCCATCTGAATGAGACATTTAGTAAAAATTAATAATAATTAATTGGGGTATCCGTATTTCAGGGAAATATGAGTGTCCCTCATACACCAGCTCTGTGAGCTGGGTAGTCAATTTTCACAGAACTCACCATGGAGTCAGCATGACTCCAGACCTGCATTCCCGGAAGCCCAGAGTATCATGTGCAGAGGTCATTTCCTGTTTCCCGAGGTATGATGACACATGACACAGGACGCTAGTTCTTGGTCCACTGAATAAATGGAAGGGATGAGAATGAAGGAGAAAGGAATCTGAAGGTTGAAGGGGGAGTGAAAGTGAGCGTGTGAGAGTTGACTGCATTTCCATCATCGTCTTTGGTCAGGTGTCTGGCAGAGTCTGCTCGGTGGCTGATTAGCACCAACAAACCCCAGGAAGCCTTAAAGGAGCTGTGGAGAGCTGCGCGCATAAATGGAATGAAGAATCATAGAGACACGCTAACTGTGGAGGTGAGTGAGATGGCTGTTGGTTATAAGACACAGGGAAGACATAGCCCAACATGCGTACTCCTTAGTGACAAAGAAGAACTGTGCTAAAAGCGTTGGACATGTATATTCTTATTTGAAAGAAGTTAAAAGCACTCTATTTATTCCTTTCCCTTGAATGTAATTTATGAAACACCCACCACAGAATTTTATTGTTACATTTATTTAATTCAGTTAAAATGTCTCGAGTTAATGCAGTTGTATATGGGATGCTTCCTTGAGCTATTTTCCTACCTGCACCTGATGTCCTCTGAACAACTTCACCCTCCAACATAATTCAATGTTTAATTGAAAGATAACCTTGTTGGTTTTTTAATTATTACAATGTAATAATATATATGTATACATTTAGCCTTTGTATTCTGAATAAATATACACGTATTGATTATCGAATCATTCAAAGCTGCTAATTGGCCCCCAGCTAATTGACCAGCAGTGCTGCTGTGTCTCAAAGTGGTAGAACACTAGCTTTGAGAGAAAAAGCTCAGGGGCAGTGTATCTTATTTTTTGAAAAAAGCCACAGAGAATCTTTGAGAACAGAATGGGAAAGAGGTTTTGGCAGAAAGGAGGAGCAGAAGGAGGAAACAGAAGAAACAGAACAAGAGTTATTTAAAACTGGGCTAAATAAACAGTAATATGGACAGAGGTCCTGAAATCTGCATAGCAAACACACACTCATCTCGGGGCTGGGAAGATGGCTCAGTGGTAGAGCGCTTGCCTTTCATGCCTGAGGCCCTGGGTTGCATTCCTCAGCACCACATAAGTAATATAAAAAAAAAAAAAAGACAACCGGACCCCCCAAAAAAGAAAATTCTCTCATCTCCCAGGCATTTGGTCACAACCCAACGGCAGAGAGCCATTGTCTAAGACCTTGTGTGGACATCTCAACCCCACCCCATCATTTGGTCTGAGAGAACACAGCAAGGATTGTGGGGGCCGGGGGGGGGGCTGTTGTTTATTTGTGTGCTGACTGGGAAATCTAACATAGCTGCACAGGAAAGCCAGCGAGGCGGGGAGCTCTGCGGGATTGGAAGCTAGTCAAAGTTGTACTGGGTGGTACAAATTGCTTCCCATCTGGGCAGTGGGCTGGGAGGAGGACACACTGCAGGCTAGAGCTCATCCCATGGGACATTCTGCATCTCTGGTGTGCAGCTCAGTTTCCCTATAACCACACACTCTGGTTGGTGGAAAATACAGGAAGCTGAAGTAGCACACATACTGACCTCACCAAGCAAAGAAATAACAGTTGGGCCAGGAGCTGGTGGCTGATGTCTGTAATCCTAGCTACTCAGGAGGCTGAGGTCTGAGGATCATGGCTCAAAGCTAGCCCAGGCAGGAAAATCTGTGAGACTCTTATCTCTAATAAATCCCCAGAAAACCAGAAGAGGTATAGTAGTTTAAATGGTAGAGCATTAGCCTTGAGCTGAAGAGCTGAGGGACAGCACCCAGGCCCAGAATTCAAGCCCCATAACTGACAAAAGGTGAGGAAGGAAAGAAGGAAGGAAGAAAGGAAGGAAGAAGGGAGGGAGGGAGGGAGGGAGGGAGGGAGGAAGAAAGGAAGCAAGGAAGGAAGGAAGGAAGGAAGAACAGTTGGTACTAATGAAGACATTGCTCTGTGGCTCATGAGATTAGCATCCTTAGGGGCCTGGAAGTCTAACACATTCTTCATCAAATTTTTCCCTCTGTTTCTTCCTCCTTTTTCTTGATGGCTTAGTTATTTTATGTGTAAGCTGGTCCTGGGGCTTGAACTCAGGGCCTGAATACTGTTTCCTGAGCTTTCTGCTAACACTTCATCACTTGAGCCACATCTCCACTTTTTTCCTATTTTTTTCTGTTTTCCTTATTTTGTGTGTATGGTAAATTGGAGATGATGGTCTCACAGACTTTCCTAACCTTGACCCTCTGATTTTTGTTTCCTGAATAGGATTATAGGCACAGGCCACTGGTGTGTGGATTAATATATGTGTGTTACATATTTTTAAATTTAGATACATATTATATGTAAATATAGAGAGATATATATCCCCTCTTCCTTCTTTCTTCCTCTCCTTCCTTCATTTTTATTTCTTTACATGTTTTTTCTTTCTCTATTTCTTATTTTAATTTAACCTCTTCCAACTCTTTATTGTCATAGTTATGCATTGTTTGCTAAGTTTTATTATTCCTTTGTTTTGCATTGTCACTTTATTCTTATTGCATTTGTCTCTCTACTTACATTTCCTTCTTCTAAGTACATTTCCCACATCAGTGGCTTTTTTTTTTCTCAGTTGTGGGGCTCGAAATCAGGACCTAAATGCTATCCCTGAGTTCTTCTGCTCAACTTTAGTACTGTACCACAGGTACACTTGGAGTTTTCTGATGGTTATTTGGAGATAAATGTCTTACCAACCATCCTTCCAGGGCAGGCTTGATTTTGAGATCTCAGCCTCCTGAGTAGCTACAATGACAGACCTAGGCCAACATCACCTGGTTATCTGCTGCCGTTTTTATTTCTCAGTATTTCTTACACTACTGAGTACTGTAATTCCTCCTAATTTCCTTCCTTTCCTACCCTTATTTGGTATATTTGTAGTCTCAATGTCTTTGGTTTTTTCCCCCTTAATTACTTAACATTGTGTTACCCTATTGGATATATCTGTCAGTTGTAGTTGTTACAGCAGATAATTCTCTTGCCTCTCACTAGAATTGGGTCCTTTACCACTTGGGGCAAATGCGCAGCTACTGAGCTACACCCCTAGTCCAGTAGTAAAAAATTATACCTGAAACCTGCTATCACTCCCTGCCCAGTCATTGGAAATATGTCAACTGAAAAACTTAGTGGATACAAAAATTTCCAATCTAACATGGACAAAATGCACATCACAAAGTAGAAAAAATTGGAAATATAAAAAATTGTCAACATGAAGCCTCCAAAAGTCAACCAACTCACAATAATGCCAGGGAAGTGATAAAATCCAAGACTAAAAGTTCACAAGAATGATTAAAAGAAATGAAAGAGCATCCAAATAAACATCTGAATGAATCAAAAGAGAACATGAATAAATAATTCCTTGAAAGAAGGAAAACAAATCATCTACAAAATGAATGTAATAAAGTAATAATTCTGAAACAGCTTCAAATTTGTCTTATGAAGACAAATAAGAAACCCATTTAAGAGCCTCCATACAAATTGGATCAGAAGATTACAGATTTCCAGGTCTTGTAGATAAGTTGGTACCTTGAGGTCATTGGACAACTGTCTCGACGGCCTCGACCAGCAAGGATGACGCAACAACAGGTTCTTCTCTCAGGCGATTTATTCAGGACCTTGTTTACAGCTTCTTCTCTCCTGCTTCTCCTGCCCGCTTCTTCCTGCTTCTCGTGCCCTCCGCCTCTGTGCTCCGGTTATAAGCCTCCTGGATGGCCAATCCCGAAGCGCCACGTGGCATATACCGATAGGGCTGCAAACATGGAAGCTAACTAGGAGCCAAGTCATAGCCATATAAGGAGTTGTTTTTTACAGAGAGCACTCGTCACCGGGAAGACGGAAGGCGGGAGCCAGCACCATCTTAGGTTGGAGCCGGGCCACGCGGCCCTGCCATTTTTGCGACAGCACCTTTAACCAAGGAGCTACAATGTTGCTTTTGCAGCAGTCCTTGGTCGCGGCTTCCGACTCTCCACAGCTCCCCCTTTTTTGTTAAGCAACAGGTAAGAGTAGAGGTTGGGCCTCTGTCTAAAACATTAATGAGAGGACCCTGCACTGATCTTCTCCTGAGGGGCGCCTTCCCCAGTGATGACCAGGCCTGTCCGATGCCTTTTTTGCAGAGGTGGGATCTTGGGCATCAACCCACTTGCATCCAACATGCTCTTCTTGGGCTCACGCCAGGGAGTGATTCCCAAGTGCAGTGCGTTTGCCTCGCACCCTGTGCTATTCCTTTAACGTGGCAAGCCACGCGTAGGGGGACTGTCCGGCCTCAATGGCAGTAAAAGCCTGGACTACCATAGCCATACTCCTGCGCTGTGAGCTCCTAATCCGGCATATGCACCACAGGCATAGCAAGATCACCAATGCCAGGATACCAATAAGGGAGCCCACTCCCACCCCCTCCTTCAAATGATCCACAGCTGTCAAACTCTCCAGTCCAATTGCCTAAAAGATAAGGGCATCAGTCTCGGGAACACGGAAAGGATCCTCCATCTCGGCACTGGTCTTACAGGCTGTATCGTTGTGAGGGCGATCAGAAGAATCATCACCACCCCTTGCATCTTGTGCTTCTTCTCCTTGGACCCTCCTAATGAGTCCTTCAGGTACCCAAACCGGATCCTGTTGGTCCTGTGGAAAAACACAAACAGA